CAAAGCCATGTGTGGCTCTCAGGCCTAGCTCTTTCTTAACTAATACTGGGAAACAGGGACCAGTGCAGCCAGCCAACAGGTCTAAAAACTCAGTTACTGGGATCCCCAAACCGTTCCCAATGAAAACAACACACAAAACTTTATTTTGGACTTATTTTGGACTTGTCCTTAGCCCCTTCCTGACCGGTGACGTATCAGGTACGTCTGACAAAAACGGTCCATTTGGAATACCCTGGGTTATCTACATTTGAAAATGGTATGCCACGATGGGGTTATTTCACATTCCTGGGCTACCATATGGTCTCAAAAGGCAACACAGACCCAGCAAACCAATCTGTCAAACTTGTAACTTTCCAAAACACCATAAAACCTGTACATGGGGGGTATTGTTATAATCGGGAGACTTCGCTGAACACAAATATGAGTGTTTACAACAGAAAAACATATCACAACGATGAAATCACCAGTAAAAGTGTTAAAAAAAAATGCAAAAAACAAATAAAAACACTAACTTTGACTAGCGTTTGTGCCTAAGTGGCTACTACAAAAGACTGGACATACCCCATATTGAATACCGTGGGTTGTCTACTTTTACAAACGGTATGCCATAAAGGGGTTAATTTTCATTCCTGGGCTGCTATACGGTCTCAAAGGCAACATAGGCCCAGCAGACCAATCTGGCAAATTTCAATGTGCAAATATGGAAAAGGGGAAAGCGAGACATTTGAGCCCTGTAAGATTGCAAAAACCCATAAAACCTGTACATTGGGGGCACTGTTGTACTCGGGAGATGTTGCCGAACACATATTGGGGGTTTCTTTGTTAGTAACACATAAACAGAACTAAAAATCCTTGCCTAAAGTACAATGTGAGAGAAAAATAACACAAAACATGACTACTCAAAAGTTTCATAAAGACTGGTGGTAGAATTAGTGCATGGAAAGTGTTAAAAAACCACCATGTGAAATACCCTAGGGTGTCTACCTTTTAAAAATATATGGTTTGATGGGTTAAATCACATTGGCCGGCTTCATAAATGTCCCAAATGGTACATGGGTGCATGATGACCGACTGAAAATTCCACGTTGGAAAACTGGAATGCGCAGCCTCCCAATAAGGTCTCTTAGCCCCCAGAGAACCCGACATCTGTACATGGGGGTATCACTGTACTCAGGAGATGTTGCCGAACACATATCGGGGTGTTCTCTGGCAGTAACCCTTAAAGTTCTCCGTACAGGTATTCTTAAATTGCTATGTGTGTCAAAAAAACGCCAATTATAATTTTTTTTTTAATTTGGCAGATTGCTGGTAAAATGGCTACATGAAAAGAGTCAAAATACCCCAAGTTTAATACCTTAGGTTGTCTTCTTTTAAAACATATATACATGTGAAGGGTTATTCAGGGATTCCTGTAGCCCCAAGAAGAAAACGCAGCTTAGCAGAGGGGGCCTTGTCAGGGCTTGGAGGCGGGGCTTAGGTGGAGCAGGGGTTGGTGATTGACAGATCAGGATTCTGGGTAGGCTGATATAAATGTCGCCCATTTTATAACATTACTAATTGACTTACCAGGCTGAATTGGTGCTTTTGTATCTGGGCCTGGTAAGTTTGTTTTTTCTTTGCAGATGGCTCAGCAGACACTGGAGATGCTGATGGCAGGGATCCAGGATGCTGCCAGGGACAGAGGGACTGACTGGCTGCGTGAGCAAGTCGGTACAGTGCTGGAGGCGGCGGGTCAAGATGGCAGCGGGGGCCGGTGTCCAGTACGGTGGAGGAGACCGCCGCAACGGTTGAGCCCGGGTCCTGTGGATGCGGGGAATGCCGGGACCGGGTCGGGTGTGGCCACGGTCGGCCTAGCGGGTGCCGGTGCAAGTGATGGTGCGCAGGATTTACCGGCATCCGCTGGTGCTCAGCAGGCTCATCACTGCCAGACAGCGCGGCCCTGGAAACTGGGTTTGCTGTGCTCGGATCCCAGGCCCCTGCGGTCGGCGGGGTTGGCCTAGGTAGAGTGTCAGAAGCGGGAGACCTTAGTGCGCAGGGAGGGCCCAACCTTGTGCAGGCAAGTGGTGGTTCTTGCACAGGGGCAGCAGGCCCCAGGGACAAAGGGGGGGCTGCTGGGGGCATAGTGGGCCTGCCAGTGCAGTCAGCAATGCAGGGGACCTGGTAGGAGCGCAGGATGTTGCTGGGGACGGCTATATGCATACTCCATCGCCAGCGCAGGGCCTGTTAGGGCCACAGGGCCTTGTGGGTGCAGCCGGGCCTTCCCACGGGCGGGTCGAGGTTAGGAGTTCACGCGGGGACCAGGGAAGTACTCCCAGGGCTCTGGGGGCGTGACAAGATCAGACAGGGCACAGCGCAGTCAGGTGTGTCTGGCAGACCGCACTTTGGAGGGCGCAGGGCCCACCAGTAGGAAGAGTTGCAAGCAGGTGG